ACATCACCAAACGATCGCCTAAATATCGGGCTATAATACGGCTAATTAAATGATTGGAATAAAGTAATTTGACACTAGAGGTAGACGTTAGGCGCCATCTCTTAAGTAAATTAATAATTAAATAAATAAATCAATAAATAAATTTAGAATCTTCTGGAATAAAAGAACTGGCCCGGGGCGGGACTCGAACCCGCAGCCTCCGCTTGCCGTGCGGCGCGCTTACCAGTTACGCTACCCAGACCCTCGAGCTAGTCTTCGCTTCCAGAAGTATATTAGATTTAGATATAACCTTACTTGGTCAAATACATCACTGACTGGGGACGACTCCTTCGCCCACGGCCATAGCGGCACTCAGCCAGCTAACGCAACACCCGGCGAGGTATATATATGTATATAAATATCAACAACTCATAGGCCGAGAGGCGCCTAACGTCTACCTCTAGTGTCAAATTACTTTATTCCAATCATTTAATTAGCCATAATATAGCCCGATATTTAGGCGATCGTTTGGTGATGATATTTACTACTCGGGCTATGAGTTGTTGATATTTATATAAATATTTTAAGTCGGTTCTTAGCCAAGTGATTAAATAGAACACGGAAATATTCTCTAAACTTTCGTTATCAAAAGAAAATGAACGTCTTTTGTTCCTTCAAAACCACGTGACTACTGAGCAACTCATGAAGTCACGTGTCTGGACGTAAAGTGGCGAAGCTCCCCATACCAGGTAGAAACACGTTTATGCTTACAAGCTGGCCTTTTAAGAATGGTTAGAAATATTTAAAACTACCGTGAATTAACGAGTCACAACTAAAATGATTTTAAAATTTTATATTTTGTACAGTTACCTATTTTGCTCTTCTTTGTTCCATTATTACCTGAAAACAATGCACTTAGCCTAATAACCTACGAGTGACTATTGGATAGAATCATTCGAAGCGTTATACGATATTTTGGTCTGTAGCATCTACAAGCCAAATCGTTCTACTGTGTAAAGTGAATGCCTGTAA